GTGATGGGAAAACTACTTTTGACTTTACAAGTTTTTTTTAAAAGAACCTTTTAACAAGACATCAAAATTTTTATTACAATACGATTGGATAGATTCTGAAAAAGGATTTTCCAATAGTAAACATCTCACAAAAATTAGTTTTTGGAATACTTATGTATGAGGCTAACAACTCAGAGTGTTACGTAATTTTTTTTATCAACAGTATCATAGTGAAATTCATGTTACCTACACTCTACCCTTAATGGAGTATTTTCATTTTACTCTAACAACAAAGTTCAAGTTTATTATAAAAATAACAAGATATTTTTAAAAAACCTTCATGTGACACAAATTAGAAATTTTTTATTTAATATAAAAAATAATTTGAAAGGACATGTCACACAACTATTATTAAACAAAGGAATTTAAAGATTTAAATAAAAAGATTAATTTGTTGGGAATAAATTAAATCTACATATAATAAATTCAGCTTGACCAGGGTGGTGGTAACTAAATACCTAGGACTAGTTATAGAGATTAGTGTATATATAAAGATTAATTTGTTGAGGTTTAACATAAACATACTAATACTTAGGAACAGCAATTTTTTAATTTTATTATATAATAAATGTATGTATGTATGTTTAAGTAACAAACAAAATAATAATAATTAATTGAATCTTCTCTCTTTTTCTTTATAATAAAAAAAATATTGAAATAAATAATTTCTATAATAAATAAAAATATTTATTACTATATTAGATTTCAAATGTCATCCCATTCTTCCTCAACATTATTCTCTTTATCAATGATATAATACTTGGATCCCAATTTAAATAATCCTATGCAATGATCAATTAAGCGCACATCAATAAATTCATAAGTTGTGAATTTGGTAAAATATTTGATTTCAAGATTTGTATCTTCAATCAATCTTGAAGTTAATTGAATAAATACTAAAAATTTGGTTTTGTTTTGGTGCTGATGTGTGAAAAAATATTCAACTTTTCCATAAGCTTTGGTCAACATCAGTTCCGAGTTAACATTCCACACAATTTTTCCATCAGAAATTGCCAATAAGACCAGCAAGGACCTAAATATTCAATACATCCAGCAACATGTAATAAATAGTGTAAACACATTCTACAAGCAGACAATCTAGTTGGATCATTTCTATAATATTCTCTACAAAAAAAAATTATTTTAATTACTCTTAAAGAAGTAGGCTATGAAGTGAAAGATTTGCTAAAATGAATTAAAAAAAATCTGATGCTGAGAATTAAATTGATACTCACTTTTCATAATATTTATAAAAATTCTTCAATGAAACTTTTAAATCTTCCAAATCATCCTTTGTGATTACATGTTTAGTGCAAATTTTCACAGATTTTACAAAGTTATTCCAACCTTTTATATGACTGTAATAAATACAACTTTAGTAAAATTTAATATTAAAGATAACAACAAAATAAATTTAATACCCACACATTATTAAATAAATCTTTTAATATTGGCAAAGAAAAAAAAAGAATCCAATTTCTCCACTAAACTGCTTTAAATCCAGCATTGTATTTATATATATCCCTTGGTGGTCTACCAATACTTGAAGGCATTTCCATTCTGGATAATTTTAGCTTTTTTCCAATTTCTACCCATTTTTCTTTTTCAATGACATAATCATCTACAATATTACAGTCTTTAAAAAATGTATTATTCCAATGGGAATACATTAAAGGTGCCATGTTTTCAAAAAATAAGTGCATGATGTCAATTGGAAATGACCATGGGAAAGTAATTGTTTAGTTTTTCATCCCTAAATAATATTTGATAAATTAATTTCATCCAAAATGGAAAAAATAATATTTAGAATATAATTTGTACAAATATTTCCAATTAAAGAACTGTTAATGACATGTGTTGTTTTACCAGGTTTGGTGGTTCACAATCAGAATCTAATTCTGGCTTTGGATCCTCTTCATATTCTGACTGCAATTAGGGATGGGCAAAATTGCATAATGCATAATGTCCCAATGAATAATGAACATATGTAATGTTACACGAATTATTATTTTTTTAAAAAAATTTATTTTATGCCTCTGCTTAGTAAAATTTGGTCTCATTTTATGAAGCTTGGCCATGAGGCCACTTATAA